AGCTTCTGTGGACTGTAGGCAGGTCCCTGGGTGTGGTGGTGCACACCTGTAATCCCAGCATTTGGAGTGCAAGTTTGAGACCAGCCTAGCTACAAAGTGAGCTCAAGGCCTGCCTGAAATGTACAGTAGAGTCTGTTTCAAAAAGACCAGGGCCGGGGAGATAGCTCAGTAGAATAAGGGTGAGTTCAATCCCCGGTTCCCCGGTTCTGCAAAAAAAAAAAAAAAAAAGAATTTTCCCAAAAAGACTAGAAAAACAAAAAGAGGTAAAGGGAAAGTGCCACCAAGGTTGTGAATACGAGTGAGAGAAAGACTTTCTGGCCCTGCCAGTGACTCTTAGTCAACTCAGTGGCTACAGTAAGTACAGTTAGAAATATTTTTTTCATTTATTTGTTTAATCTTTTTCCTTGGGGTGGGGAGTATAGGCAGAGGGCATGAGGTATAAAACTGACAATGCCCAGTCTTCACAGGATATGAGAAAGAATGTCCTTTTATTCTGGAAGATAGCACTGATCCTGTCTCTTTTATTTATTTACTTCTTTGGTGCTAGAGACTGAACCTAAGGCCTGCTAAGCAGTACAGCTGAGCCACACTCCCAGCCGTAGATCCTCTTGTGTTGTCCTATTGTGGGTGTTTGGGGACCCTAAGTAAAATACAACTGTGTATTTCCTGAGGACACTCGAGGTGGGAGAGAAGAGCAGCGCTGAACTCAGTGGTCAGCTGACCCCTACCTGGGCAAGCACAGGGCTGCTCTGTTCAGGACGATTCCTTGTAGCCATGGCACGTGCACGTGTGGTATCCTCCCTGGTGTGGTGGGCAGCCTCTTCTGGGTGTGCCTATGTATACCTTTTAGGTGAACTTATTTTTAGTTCTTCCAAGTACATTTGAGCAAAGGATATTTTTGTTTTCCAGTCTACAGCTGAGTCTGCAGTGGCCTTTGTGTATTTTCTGGGCCTTGTCGGAGACTTAGTAGTCTCCCTGCACCCTTGCCCCAAGAAACAGACACTTGTCCAGTGGAAATTGTCCACAAAGGACCCTGACACCATTCTCCTGTGAGTTTCTGTGTTTTGCTTGTAGAAGACAGACTCAGGACCAATTTGATGCAGGTTAACGTAAGCACAGTACTGAAGAAAAAGCATAAAAAGAGTTGGGAGTGCTGAGTTCTGGAGATAGACACATTGCTACTTTTTTTAGGACTTTGAGCAAATCACCTCTTCATTAGGAATGATGGGATCGGGTTAGATGTGCCCCAAGGTCCATCTCAGTTCTAACGTGTCACAAAGTAGTGGCCAAAGGAACCAAACCTAACCAGCCATTATGCCACTGTGAAGGAGCCAAGAGAGGGTGACACTGCCTTGTGAAGAAGCTATTTCGCTGTAATACAAAAAAAAGACTGACAGTGAACCTAAAAGCTTTGCAGGTTCATGGAAGGGGTTTCCACAGTACACACAATCCAGTATCCAGATACGCTTGGGACGTGCTCAGACCTGAGAGCACGTAGGCTAGAGCTAAGAGGCAACCTTGAGCTCCGTGGCACAGGCAGATGAAGGCAGAGAGCTACCCTTGGTGGCGGAGGAGGATGGTCCTTGAAGTCCCAGGTGGTGATGGCTGTGTTCTGTCTTCATTCTCAGGTGAGCGATGGCAGGCGCCGGTGAGCGCAAAGGCAAGAAAGATGACAATGGCATTGGCACGGCCATTGATTTTGTGCTCTCCAATGCCCGGCTGGTGCTGGGGGTGGGTGGAGCGGCTATGCTGGGCATTGCCACGCTGGCCGTTAAGCGGGTAAGTACCTGTGCCAGGGCTAGGGACGGGAGGTGGAGGGTAGCCTCTACAGAGTGGAGCTCCTGGGAATAAGACTTGGATGCTGCTAATGTAACTCGGTGGTTCAGTACTGTTGCGTGAGGTGCTAAGAGAACTCAGTCAGCTTGTTTCTAGGCGCTGGGCGTACAAAGAATACAAAACAGCCTGCCTTCACTACGTTGTTTAATAGTACAGATGGAACCCAGGGTGAGCTACCATTGAGCTAGATCCCTTGGTCTTTTTGTTTTTTTTCTTTTTGGTACTAGGGATAGAACTCAGGACCTTGTGCTTGCCAGGCAGGCACTTCTGCCGCTGAGTGATCTTCCTGGCCCCTTGTTTTTAGTTTAGTTTTTTTGTTTTGTTTTTGTTTTTTGGTGCAGGGTCTCACTACACAGCTTGGACTTGTAGTGATCTTCCTGTTTTCTGCCTCTCTACTGCTGGAATTACAGGCATGTGCTACCATGTCCAGTCTTGGCCTCTTATTTTTAGATTTTAGTATCTCATTAAGTTTCCCAGGCTGTCCTCAAACTTGATATTCTCCTGCCTCAGCCTCCCAAGCAGTGAGGATTACAGGCATCTGCCACCACACTGGGCAACTGCCTTATTTAAAATAGCACCAAAAATAAATACTACCTTACCATACACAAATGTCTGTTTCCTTTTCCAACTTTTTTTTTTTTTTTTTTTTTTGCGGTACTGGGGATTGAACTCTGGATCCTGCGCTTGCCAGGCAAGCGTTTATTCTACTGAGCTATCTCCCCGGTCCCCCACTTATCTCTAGCTGTGTATGTGAACTTGCTTATCACGTGTTGTTTGTGTCCTTCTAGTAGACTAGACATTCCATGAGTGAGGACTTGGGTTTCTTTGCTTAGCTGCTTTATTCTTAGCACCCAGAACAATGCCTAGCGTGTGTAGCCTCTGAATAAAACTTTTATGTGTCTGTAGATGCTGCATCCACGGATTCAGACAACCATAGATTGAAAGTACTTTTCAAAACATGCAGCCAGGTATAATGGTGCACGCCTATATTCCCAGCACTTGGGAGGCTGAGGCAGGATTACCATGGAGTTTGAGGCCATTGTAGGCTACATAGTGAGTTCAAGACTAGCCTGAACTACACAGTGAGACCCTGTTTCAGAAAACAAACAAAAAAACATGCATATGTACTGAACATGCTTGGACTTTTCCTAAATAATATAGGATAGCCACTATTTGCATAGCATTTACCCTGTATCAGGTTTTATTTGTAATCTAGAAATGATTGAAGGTCTATGGAAGGAGCTGTGTATGGTGCATATCTGGAATCCCATCATTTGGGAGGCTGAGTGGAAGGATCGTAAATATGAGGCACCTAAGCAACTTAGCAAAATCCTGTCCCAAATAAAAAATAAATAGGGCTGAGGATATAGGTGACTGATAGAGTGACCTTGGGTTCAATCCCTAGCACAGATCAAAAAAAGTATCTAGGTCCCCGGGCCTCATAGTAAATGTTGTCTGTGGACATTGCTCTGCGAGAGAGTAAAATCATCAAAAGTTCAATGAACTTGTCAAAAATTTAAAAAGTATAGAAGATATGCATAGATTATTTGTTTAACTACTGAACTTTATTTATTAAGGCGCTTAAGCAGCAGAGGATGTGGGTATTCTCATGATGTCCTGAAAGCCCTCCCCTGGGAATACCAAGGAACCAGCATAGCTGTTGACTACTTTCTTTTTTTTTTTTTTTTTAATTTTATTTGCATTTATTTTATGCTTAATTTATTCCCGTGCCATAAGTTTTTGTTTCTTCGGTTTCTTCTGGGATATCTTTTTCTTCTGTGCAACTTCCTCTTCTGGTTTGGGAACAATTTGTTCCTTTTCAGTAAGGATCATCTCAGTATGGCAGGGGGAGCTCATGTATGGATTAATCCGGCCATGAGCTCTGTAAGTACGGCGG